TAAATTTTAAAACAAGCCCCAAATCAAATAAATAACACAAAATAAATCTCTTCATATAAACAAAATAAGGCTTTGTATGTGCTCTTTCCATTTAAAATTTAGAGGCAACCACTGCATTTTAATCATGATCCAAACAAAGATGCTGCATACATGCAACATGAGCAGTTTTTAATCTAAATTAGATTGTATAATTTTGAAATTTGAAGCAAAAACAGAATGATTTGACTTCTTTTTTGTGAAACCGAAACAGCAGAACTGAATGAGATGCAGATGCACTCTCTGCCAGCAGGTGGTGCTTAAAGCGTTTCCGAAAAGAAAAAAATACCATCTAAACTTTTCTAAAGACAGTAAGTTCCCCTCAGACATACATTCATATAAACTCTTACCCCTAATTGAATCGCGATTTGTTTAGCATCTCAACCGATTTGAATCGTCACGTATTTGAATCGATTTTCAACCGGCTCGCAGTTAATAGTTACATCCCTACTGTTCTTTTAATATTTCTATTCTGCTGTCATGTCTTTCATCCATGTGCAGCTCAGATGGAGCTGATGACTTGGCCGGTGTTCCTGGATGGGGAGGCCCCGTGTGTGTTCAGCTGGCTCAGTCGCTGTCTGAGAGGGCAAGATGTGGCGCCTTTTCCTTATCTGCTTGGCATCTGTGAGAGAACCAAACTACTGGTGCTGGTAAGGACCCAAATCCTCCCTGTGCCACTGAATATGGTCTTTTTACCTGGTTTTATAGGTGCACTCCATCTGTATTCTACAACCCAGTTGACTCCTGAAAAATACAGGTGCTCACATCCTTCTCTAATTGTTCTAAAGTCTGACCAGTTTAGTCCAATTCACAAACGCATGACTGTTATGAGAAGTTCTTTCAGTGAATCATTCAAAAAGCCTTCCAAACTCAGTTTGAATCAGTCTGACGAATCTTTAACTCAGTGAACTCACTGAATCAGTCAGAGCGGTTCTGACTCACTCGCTGAGCTGCAAGCTGTCATTATATTCAATGATGTCCATCTCGAAATAAAGCTTTGTTTAACGGTTTGTGAAAATGATTGTTATTACTGCCTGCTGACTGTGACCAATAACGCAGTTAGAGATTGACGTTATAGTAATTTAGAGAATAGACTGCATTTAAATCTGATTTTCAATCCCAAAACATTGCAGATACCGTTCAAAATTTGGGAGTTGGTAAGATTTTTTATGCATAAGAGGTTTCTTATGCTCACTGAGGCTGCAATTATATAATCAAAAATACAGTAAAAACAGAAATACTGTGAAAAAATATTTTTTTAATATAACTGTTTTTTATTTAAATATAGTGTAAAATGTAATTCATTCCTGTGACGCAGAGCTGAATTTTCAGCATCATTACTCCAGTCTTCACTGTCACGTGATCCTTCAGAAATCATTCAGGTTCTGATTTGCTGCTCAAGAAACATTTCTTATTGTTAGCAATATTTAAAACCATTGTGCTGCTTCATATTTTTGTGGAAACTGTGATTCATTTTATTTTTCAAGAGTCTTTGATGAACAAAGTTCAAAAGAGCATGTAATAAATAGAAATCTTTTGTGACATTATAAATGCATTTGCTGTCACTTTTGATCACATTATTGCGTCTATTCTGAATAAAAGTATTAATTTCTTTAAAACAATCTAACTGACTCCAAACTTCTGAACGGGTGTTGGATGATGCCCAACAGGGAGCGCTAACAGTAAGCAGAGGAACCGGGTGTCCTGCCCTTAACTCACACACATGTTCTATATAAATGTCAAGCAGTTAGATAGCAAAGTGCTGCAAGCTAATCATATTGACATTTTGCGAGCACCGAGTCGTCCCTGGGCATCCTCATGAGCGGGTCAGATGCCCTGCCTTGATTAGTCTGTGGAAGTGGTGGTCTGAATCACTCGAGAGGGCGATAGGAGAGGTCACGGGTGTCATGGTGTGTGTGTTTGTTTTGTACTTCCTTCCATCAGGCAAAGCGAAGTGACGCACAACCCCACCGAGGTGCTGACAAACCGTTACGCAATTATGGGCCGTGTTTACCCCACCGTTCCCATCCCTTAGATTAGAGTCCAGAACATTAGAGCATCCATTTTATTCCTCTGTACTTACACTCCCACTGCCTCTCTCTCTCTCTCTTTTCCAACCCCTTTCTTTCTCCCTATTATATTTAGTGGTAATTGCTAAGGAAAGTATCAGCATTACTGTTTCTCATACAGTACATAGAGTTGTGTTTTTTTGTGGAGCGGGTTGAGGAGAGGTCTGGCGTTCTTTTTCTAAGATATCAGACTTAAGATTTTCACCTGTTTGGACACTTAAATAAATTAAATAGGCCCTTAGACATTGAATAAAGAATCAGAGCCATATCTATCCTGAAGAAAAACAAATGGTGTTAGACTTGCATTTAAAATCTAAATGTTGAAGTTGAAAGACTGAAATAGTATTAGTAAAATGTGTGTAAAGCATGCTTGCATAACCTTTAATTTACAACTTTCTTGTTTGACACTTTCGAAGCTTCCTATCTAATCTCTGCCTGTATATTTACAGTCTGTTCAGAAGTATTTAATTACCAGGTTGATTATACAAGCACAACTTGTGAGAAAGAACTAGTCGTTGGATGTGCCAAAGTTTACCAGGTTATTAGTGGTTTCAAATACATTCGGATTTCAAAGATATTCAGAGTTTTGCTTAAGCCACTAGTAGTAAGTAAAACTAGTTGTCCACAAGGTTAACTTGGTCAATGAACAGATAAGTGTTGTTTTAGTATTATACTGTTATAGTTTTCGTTAATATTTTGAATTAGCTTTATTTTTATATTTTTTAGTTTAATTTTTAGTAATTTATGTGCTTTTGGCTTTTTAAATATTTCTAAATAGTTTTAATTTATTTTCATTTCAGTTTTAGTTTTATTTCCATTAATTTGAGTAGTTTCAGCTAATTTTAGTACTTCAGCGTAAACTTATTTTCATTAGTTGGAACTTATATCACTTCTTTTATTTATTTCTGCTTTGTTTCAGTTAACAAAATGTTTATTATTATTATTATTTTTTTAAATAGTTTTAGTTAACAGTAACTAACAGTAACCACGTTGGGGCAAAACCTGAACATCTGAGGCTGACTAAATCCATATTTAATTACCAGGTTGATTATACAAGCACAACTTGTGAGAAAGAACTAGTCGTTGGATGTGCCAAAGTTTACCAGGTTATTAGTGGTTTCAAATACATTCGGATTTCAAAGATATTCAGAGTTTTGCTTAAGCCACTAGTAGTAAGTAAAACTAGTTGTCCACAAGGTTAACTTGGTCAATGAACAGATAAGTGTTGTTTTAGTATTATACTGTTATAGTTTTCGTTAATATTTTGAATTAGCTTTATTTTTATATTTTTTAGTTTAATTTTTAGTAATTTATGTGCTTTTGGCTTTTTAAATATTTCTAAATAGTTTTAATTTATTTTCATTTCAGTTTTAGTTTTATTTCCATTAATTTGAGTAGTTTCAGCTAATTTTAGTACTTCAGCGTAAACTTATTTTCATTAGTTGGAACTTATATCACTTCTTTTATTTATTTCTGCTTTGTTTCAGTTAACAAAATGTTTATTATTATTATTATTTTTTTAAATCGTTTTAGTTAACAGTAACTAACAGTAACCACGTTGGGGCAAAACCTGAACATCTGAGGCTATGACTAAATCCATTCTTCCTGCTTTATTTCTCAACTGTATTTTGGTCATTTTATTAGTTTTTGTTCATGATCATTTGATTTATTTTTATTTCAGATATATTTTAGTTCTTCAGCTTAAGCTTATTTCATCTAGTTGCCAAGGAAACATTTCAAATCTTTCATTGTATTTTATTTTAGCTTTATTTTTCACTTAATAAAAATCAGTTTTAAAAGTTTATTTAACAACAAAAATATTGGAACAGATTTCGGGCCAATGCAATGCCAATAACTCCATGCTGTGTTACTGCTTAATTTCTGAGTGACAAAATGTGCTTTTGTCATTTTTATTAAATTTTTTTTTCGCATAATAATTTACATTTCTCAGCTGTATTTGAAATTGATGTTCTGAATGAGCCATATTACCTGTGATCTGCGGTTGTTATGCATGCAGTCATGCATGTGGTTGATGACTGCGCTCCTGCATCGTGTCATGATGAAACATGTTTATTCTCCCCTCACACGACTGTCATGACAGCAGCAAACCAAAACCACACAGATGCTGTCCCACTGCTAATACTAACTCTCGTTGCGCCCTGTCCTCTTCCTCTCTGTCTGTCTCTCAGAGTTATGCCCTGTACGTGGTCGGAGATGAGGATGCGATCTCGACAAACATGTTGAAGTACCTCTCCAGGCTGTCAGCAGGTGGGCTGCATGTGTGTGAGATTAGAGGCTAATGAGAGGCTCTTTACTCTCCTCAGGCCTGACACTAGACTTCCTGTCAAGCATGTACATTAATAAATAGGAGGATAAATTCATTTATTTATTACATTACACATGGTAATTTGGATGCACAAATGTAAACCTTTTGGCCGATACTGATACTATGTGTCATAAATTTTAAAACCAGATTGTTCATCACCAATGAACAAGTAGCTGAAATTTTGAGGCTAGTCCAAACTGATAATTCAGTTTTGCTTTTTCTGAGCAAACTCCGTTGGTTTTGCATGGGTTACTTTAGAATAGAGAAATAATTTTGCACATAAATGGCCTTTTGCATTAAAAACAAATTTTGTGTAAATCGTTCAAAAAATTATTCTTGTATGAATTATCCTATTAGATTAAATGCAACAATTTATGTAATGTTTTTTAAAGTGCGCAGAAGTTTGTTTGTGTTTCTTGATTAAGGCCTAACATTAGTGTTGCTCTAACTGCATATATATTAATCGGTTGTAATAATCAGACAATTATTTAAATGTTTAAAAAATAAAATTCATTGCAGTCAGTTCACAAATATTTGTATATAAAATGTATTTTAGACAGACACGAGTCTGGGACAAAAACTCTTGTTATCTGTTTCTATAATAATTGTTATATGCGGATAGTTTTCATTAGCCCTTATCAGGTGACCAGTGTATTTTGCTGTTTATTTATTTATTTTTCGAGCCTACGCTACTATTTGATAGTTTGGGGGTGGTAAGATTTAATGTTTTTGAAAGAAGTCTCCTATCTTCACTAAGGCTGCATTTATTTATACAGAAAAACAGTAGTTTTGAAATATTACAATTGTATTTTTCTATTTGAATGTGTTGTAAAATGTAATTTATTCCTATAATGCAAAGCTGAATTTTCAGCATCATTACTCCAGTCTTCAGTGTGTCACATGATCCTTCAGAAATCATTCTAATATGCTGTTTTACTGCTCAAGAAACCGTTGTGCTGCTTTATATTTTTGTGGAAACCATAATAAAAAAAAATTTGTTTAGGATAAATATAAAGTTCATAAGAACAGCATTAATTGGAAATGGAAATCTTTTGTAGTATTATGAACGTCTTTGTCACTTTTGATCAATTTAATGCAGCCTTGCTGAATAAAAGTATTAATTTCTTTAAAAAAAAAACTTGCTGGCCCTAATCTATTGAATGGTAGTGTATATTTTATTTTTTCATACTCTAGCATTTCAAGTATATTTGATAATGCAAAAACCAGGGAAAATGAATAGGTGAGTGTATAACATTTTTTTTGGTCCATGTTTTCGCAGGGCAAAAGAAAAACACGAGTGATCCTTTTCTGAGAAGGTACCTATGGTTTGTGATTATTGTCATGTGGCCTTATGTTAGTTTTTCTAGATAAGTCTCGGCTCATAAATTCTAGTCAGCTGATTTAGTTTCTCCAGTGTGTTTGATTGTGGGGTGTGTTTCACAGGCAGAGCAGCGTGAAGCCCGCACCTTCATCTGAATGCCTGGCTGAGAAGCTGGTGGTGTGGTTGACCTCTGCAGGTCAGAGTGACACAATCAACACAAGTACACACATGCAAATATGAGTGCTTGGCCAGTAGGGGTGTAACGATCCATCGATATGGATCGATTAAATGTCTAACGATACGATGTATCGATGCCACACGGAAAATATCGCTTTCTGTAGTTTAAATAGGCACCTTATTTTGACACTGTCCACATTTTCGCCAATGTCCGTCTATGCATTACTGCCAACGCATGCATTCTCGTTCAAACTCGCGTGTCTTGACGATAAGACTCTGCCTGAAGGGCGAGCGTAAAAGACACTCGGAATAGTTGACGGAATTGTCGAGCGCTTGTGAGAATTACCTAGTTGGCGAATATCCTAGTAAACACAGTCGGTTAGAACTATGTCTTAACGTAAACAGTTGAGAAAACGCATGTGTATTAGTATATTGGATCCATGCTTTCCTTAGAGTGAAAGCAGACTAACAGAAAACTTCTGTCAAAGAAAAAAAAATCTCTCACTGATTTTGACTGAACAACTTTTATAAGGATTAATCTATATTTAATTTGAAGATGATGCAGTGTTATTTTACATTTGATTATTACATTTCTGTACCTGAAAATTTGTTTTAGATCTACCTGAAAAACCTGAAAAGCACTGTTTATTTAATTTGTGTCTTTGTTATATTGTATTTATTTTCTGCTATTTGGTTATCTGTAGAAAATGTTTTTAGCACCGAGCCCATAGTAGCAGCAAAAAAAAGTCTCAAATAAAGTTTTAACAGCTTTATTTTTGTTTTTGTTTTTTAATTAATTTTTCTACATTAATGTATTTTTTCCTACAACTGGAGTACCTCGTTTGTGTTGTTTCCTAATGAGGATTTACATAATTTTACACATTGCATATTTTAGCACAGAAGCCTGAAAGACTGTCTTGACTGTTGTCATATCTTAAGATTATCTGTCTTTTTTTCAATTATTTATTTTTCTTTATTATTTAAAAAAAAAAACTGTAGGCCTATTTTTTGTTGTGAATGTCCCAATTGAGGAACAGGATGTGAAAATTTAAGATAAATGTTCATGTTATATGTTTTGGTTGCATTTGTAAAGTTAATAAAAATGTAGATGGTTGTTTAAAATAGGTATAATATAATAGTATCGATATATCGATCGATATTCTCCTGTATTGAATCGCATCGAAATCGTATCACTGAGTATGAGAATCGATATCGTATCGTATCGTATCGTATCGTATCTTTCGTTCATTCGGATAAGCTAGATATAAACATGTAAACAGTTCTACTTTAATTTTACTTTGAATGATTATGTTGCTATGCTGTGACAGTAGTTTACCTGAAGGAGAAAGACAGAAAAATTCAGTGCGTACTTCCATTTGGACCTGTTTCAGAAAAGTGTGTATAAAGTATGTTTCAGACTTTATACTGGACTCACAATCCTACTAAAGCTCCTAAATTTCTATTACATTTAGCTTTGAATGTAGATGTCTGGTCAAAATCCACCTGCTCAGATCCTGCAGGCTCTGTTTTTTTAGCTTAGTTTACATTAGATTAGATATATGAGATCTTATATCTTGTGCTTGTTTTTTGTTTGCTTTTTTACACCTCAGGATTTACACTGAAAGATCTGGAGTCGGTTCCGTTTGGTGTGGCTCTGCCAATCAGAGACGCCATCTACCTGTGCAGAGAGCATCCCTGCTCTGATTGGTCTGAGGAGGTCTGCGCTCTGATTGGACGACAGGACCTGACCAGACAAGCTCACAAAGTGACCCTGGCCAATCGTAAATCGGTGAGAAAGTAAATCAGATGTAAAGAAACTAGATCTTGCTTTGCCATTTGAATTTTATTATTATTGGTTTATTATTATGAAAAGTGTTAATGTATTAGTATTAATGAGTACTAGTATTAATATTTAGAATTAGCTTTTATTTTTATATTTTCAGTTTTCATTCTAATTTTAGATTAATTTGTGCTTTTGTAATTTTCATTAGTTTTAGTGCTTTTAAAAAAAAAATTCATGTAGCTTTATTTTTCAGTTTTAGCAATTTTAGTACTTCAGCTTCAAAAGGTCAAGTTTTTCATTTGATATTTTAAAAAGTATTTTTAATAATGCTCAACATAGATTTAGTTAACAATAGCAGCACTGTTTTTACTAGATAAAATGTAAATTATACTGTATTAAGACGATAGTAAAAGAATAAGTCATATAAGACAAAAACATTTTACAAAAGGTGCCTGACTATTTTAACTGTTGCTTTCATTTTGATCGTGCTTCTAATGTTACTTATATTATTCATGTGTTCACACTTGCGTATTCATTATCATACAAAGTGTCAAATAGAAACCTAGGGCACTTAGCAGGGCTCAAAACAAATTTATAAAGCTATTTTTGCCTTTCTAAAAACAATGTTGAATTATTGTCTCCTGGATGGTGGCTTTGCTGAAAATAACTCCCGTCCCCAGTTAAAACAACTACTGTCTGAATAGAGCCGAAGACTTGAATATGGTATTTAAGACCAGTATTTTCTAGTGTAATTACTGTAATTCTGAACTGATGAAGTGAATGCTGCATTATAAAGTAATTATAAAAGAACTGAATTACCCACACTCAAGGACAATGTAATTTCATTGTTCATTCAGTGTGTTTGTGTTTTCTCTAGACTGTGGGTCTGAATGTTATGCTTGAGCCACCAGTCACCAGTGAAGCCGACGAGGAGGAGGATGGTATGACAGACCTGCACCCAGAGGTGACGGGGCTGATCTGGAGTCAGGATCTGAGGGTGCAGGAGGTCCGCCGTCTGCTCCAGAGCTCCAGACCCATCCGGGTCAATGTGCTCCACCTGCCTGAAGTCAGTGACCATGAGTACATAGAGGAGAAGGAGAACAAGTGAGCATACTCAGTATTAAAACAAAATGTTATTTATTGGCATCTATGGTTCCATTAAGAACCTTTAACATCCACGGAACCTTTCTATTCTACAAAAGGTTCTTTATAGTGGAAAAAGGTTCTTTAGATTAGGAAAAAGGGGTTCTTTTAGGAACTGTTCACAGAAAGCTTCTTTGGAGAACCAAAGACAGTTCTTCTATAACTTTTACTCTTAAAAATAAAGGTTCTTTATTGGCATCTATGGTTCCATGTAGAGCCTTTAACATCCAAGGAACCTTTCTATTCCACAAAAGGTTCTTTATAGTGGATAAAGGTTCTTTAGATTAGGAAAAAAGGGTTCTTTTAGGAACTGTTCACAGAAAGGTTCTTTGGAGTACCAAAGACAGTTCTTCTATAACTTTCTATTCTTAAAACAAAATGTTCTTTATTGGCATCTATGGTTCCATTAAGAACCTTTAACATTCACGGAACCTTTCTATTCCACAAATAGTTCTTTATAGTGGAAAAAGGTTCTTTAGATTAGGAAAAAGGGGTTCTTTTAGGAACTGTTCACAGAAAGGTTCTTTGGAGAACCAAAGTCAGTTCTTCTATAACTTTTACTCTTAAAAATAAAGGTTCTTTATTGGCATCTATGGTTCCATGAAGAACCTTTAACATCCAAGGAACCTAAGCACAACAAAAAAATTTAAATGTAAAGATTCCAAAAGTTTTTTTTCATTTTTTTTTTCAGCGATGCCATAGAAGAGCCATTTGTGTTTAAAACACCAGTACAAGCGGCCAAATACAGTAGTATATCTCCAAAATGTTGGCGAAACTGTGGATGTAATGAAGCAAACCATTATCATATATTTTGGGAATGCCTACATATTCAAGAATACTGGAAAGAAATACAGGAGGCTCTTGAATATATTTTTTAGAAGAGACATACCTCTAGAAAGCAGATTGTTGTATTTTGGCTGTGTATATCCAGATATAGTAACAGCAGATAATAAATACCTGATGGGTGTGCTTTTGGCAGCCAGCAAGAAAGCAATCACACATAAATGGTTAAAACAAGAGAGACCAACTTTAGACTACTGGATAGATGTGACCATAGAGATTTATACGATTTATAACCCTTTTTTGGTTAATTTAAAGAAGGATGCATTTCTGGGAAACTGGAGGAAATGGGTTGAATATGTATCAGAAAGAAGGTCTGATTTTGTTGTTATAAATAAATAAAAGATGATCAATATATAGATAGATATATGTAATATAATATATGCTTGTGTGTGTATATGCACATGTTTGCGAATATGCATGTACTCTGTTTAATATCTATATACATAATGAAGGTCATTTGAGGTTATTCTGGATGGAATTGAATTAGGACACATGCTCTCACCCTGGATGTATATAGTTTTTTTTTTTAGTACATTTTATTTTAATGTTACTTTTCTTTGTAAAAAGGAAAGCAGGTTATACTTTGAAATTATTTAAAGAAGGTTGAGTATAATTTATAGTTAAAACATGCTAGGTAATTGTACATAATTGTACAAGATACTCTATGGTTGCATTGAGCATTGTATGTAACTTGAAATATGCTACATGATTGTACTCAAATGAATGTTCACAATAAACAAAAATAAAAAAGAAGAGCCATTTGTGGTTCCCCTAAAGAACCTCTCAGTGAACAATGCATAAAAGAACCGTTTTTTCTTAGTTTGAAGAACATTGTAAAAATCTAAAGAACCTTTTTTTTTTTTTTTTTTACTATGAAGAGTCTTTTGTGCAATGAAAAGATTCCATGGATTTCCTGGAAAGATTCAATCAATGCCAATAAAAAAGCTTTATTTTTAAGAGTGTATGGTGGAAAAAGGTTCTTTATATTAGAAAAAAAAAGATTTTTTTTTAAAATTGTAAATGATTCTTCTGTGGCTTCGCTGCTAATAACTGCCCTTCATTTTTAAAAGTGTTGCTGCAAAAACCTGCTTTTTTAACCTTCCTATTTTTAAGAGTGTAGGTTTCTTCTAAGTGAAGAAAGTAAACGCAAATATGCTGAAATGCGCCCTGTTCTTCTCTAAATCTGTGCCATTCTCTACACTTAAATTCAGCATTGCTCTTCTTATTTTTGTTGCAGGCTGCTGCAGTTGTGCCAGCGCACCATGGCTCTTCCGGTGGGACGGGGACTCTTCACTCTTTTCTCATACCATCCTGTGCCAACCGAACCACTCCCTGTGCCCAAACTCAACCTGACTGGTACTCTCATAAACCACCGCCCATGCTTATGAAGTGTCCTAATGAATAGTTTTACAGGGCTACGAATGCAGTTTTTAAGAGCCCTGTTGAATTTTGTTTGGCAGTAACTGTGCCCAGACGTTGCAAACCTCCCACCATTCCCACCACAGCATTATATCTTTCACTAGCTTCAACAATTTTACGTCAGTTGAAAAGAAAACGTTTGCCCAGGACCCTTAGTGGTCTTTGCTGTTTTTTAAGGCAAGTATCACCATTGCTCATATGTTGGGATTTGAACAACAAAAATATCATGCCGACTTCTGGATGGCCTTTTTCAAACTGGGCTACTAAGTAATGATCCAGAACACCCTAGCAACTGCGTAGCAACACTCCAGTGACCACACTCAAAAAAATATTCAAAAATGTAATATTTATGTATTTGAATTGCGTATAAAATTTCCATTTTAACTAGTGCTGGGCAACGATTAATCGCGATTAATCGCATCCAAAATAAACGTTTTTGTTTATTTAGTGTGTGTGTGTACTGTGTATATTTATTATGTGTATATATAAAGACACACACATACAGTATACTGTATGTTTAGAAAATATTTATATGTATTTACATTTATATTCATATAATTTATATTATATATAAATATATTTAATATATAAACATAACATATTTTTCTTAAATATATACATGCATGTGTGTGTATTTATATATACATAATAAATATACACAGTACACACATATATTATGCAAACAAAAGCTTTTATTTAGGATGCGATTAATCACGATTAATCGTTGCCCAGCACTAATTTTAATATAAAAAAATATTAAACGTAATGCGAATCATATTTGTCAGTCATACATGAATGAACCAGGTAAGAAACAGGCAAGATTTCTGCACTCTATCTAGTGCATATTTACTATCTGCATCTGATTTGTGATTTGGTATTTCTTAAAAAGAAATCATGTTTTCAAAATGCATTTATCCAAATGGCTTAGAATCATAATAAATCTGATCATTATGAAAACAGATCAGTGTATTTGGTTAAACAGTATGAACATTGTGAAACTATGGCTAGCTGTGGAACAAGCAATATTCAGTTATGTAATGTTTGAGATTGAAACAAATGGGATTTATTGATGATGAATATATAAACGTGGTTATTGTGTTTTTAAAACAGACCCAGTTTTTTAGTACTATGACTGACAAATTTGCATCACATTAATTTATTTAGTTAAAAATTGTGATCCAAATGGATGGAAATTTTATATGCAGTTCAAATACATAAATCTTGAGCGTAACTATTTTTTTAAATGGACCCACAACACCCATGCATTGCAATGGCAAGTTTTGCATGGAAAGCACGGACATTTTAGTTCATGCTTTATAGTATCATTTTTATTGAAAAAACTCTTCCTCTGTAATTTACTAGCTAAAGGGCACTAAATGCTGCCTTTTTATGTCTTTCCTCACTTTCCCACCATTTTCTTATTTTATGTGTTATTTTTGCTGAACCCAGCTAACAATGCAGCGTGAATAATGTCCCTTCTTTTTTGTCTTCTCCACCAGGCCGCGCTCCTCCCAGGAACACCATGGTGGACCTGAACAGCGGTAACATCGATGTGCCGCCCAACATGACCTGCTGGCCCAGCTTTCACAACGGTGTGGCGGCTGGTCTTAAGATCGCCCCTGCTTCTCAGGTGGAATCTGCCTGGATTGCGTACAACAAACCCAAAAGTGCCGACCTGGCCAACGAATACGCCGGTTTCCTCATGGCACTGGGCCTCAACGGCCACCTCACTAAACTAGCAACACTTAACATCCATGACTACCTCACCAAGGTCAGTTACAGCCTCAGATGCGAGGTTTTGATGAATGTAGTGATTATGTACTTCAATAATTAGTTTTAGGTCTAGAAAGTGACCCTGCAGTCAATGACGGCAAAAGGATATGATGTCACTCTCCATGTTCCAGTGATATTTCATTATTTATAATATAGTATTATATAATAATTATGTGTTAATACTTTTGTTAATATTTTGAATTAGCTTTTATTTTTATATTTCCATGTTTAAGTTAATTTTAATATAAATTAATTTCAGTTTTAGTATGTTTTGTCATTTTTATAATAAAATATATTTGAATATTTATATATTTTTTAATATTAAAAATAGACTTAATTAATTTTTTCATTCGTTTTTTCCAGTTAGTGCTTACATATAGTTGCCAAGGCATCATTTCTAATTTTTTCATCTAAAATGTATAATTTAATTTATATCAGATTTCAACAAATACAAATGTTTTTAATAGTTTTAGTTGTAGTTAATAGTTTAATAGTTTTAGTTTTCGATAATAATCATATGAATGCATAGCACACACAAATATATATATTTTTTAAATGCATTAATATGATTGCATTAATATGATTAATAGTCATATTAATGCATAACACAAACAAATATATAATTTTATTTCTTGTATATCATAAACCTATCATACATTTAATCATTTAATTTCATCATAATTTCAAAAATATTATAATTTAATTCATATCAACTTTATTTAAATTTAAATCATATGAATGCATAGCACACACAAATATATAATTTTTTATATGCATTAATATGATTGCATTACTATGATTAATAGTCATATTAATGAATAACACAAACAAATATATAATTGTATTTATTGTATATCATAAACCTATCATACATTTAGTAATTTAATTTCATCATAATTTCAAAAATATTGTAATTGAATTTATGTCCACTTTATTTCAATTTAAAATGTTTTTAATAGTTTTAGTTAGTGATAATAACCCCGGGGTCCACAAAGAAAAGTAGACAACCACGTGAAACGACAGCTTTTAAAATGTAAAGATACTACTTAGGCTGGCGTCTTTTCACAAATACTAGGCAAGCGTCTCGTAATTTATTTTACATATTGTATTAATTTACATACTGTATTAATTTAGTCTTTTCAGATGTTTTTTGTAATAAACACTGCATTTGCAAGCATATGACTGCAAGTGAGAAACAAAATCTAGTGTGACCACCTGAAAGACGTCGACAGACGTTTACTAAAGATGGCCCAGATAACCAATCCCATACAGCAGCATGTGACGAATCCAAACATTCATGTGTAGCTAACAGGATGATTCATCTTAGATTACGTGAGTCACCTGCGCTTATCTATAATGGAGATCTAGGTTGGAATCAGGAGTTTGCGGGTGATGTTAATTCTAGTGGTTATTCGGAGGAATAAAACCAGAGCAATTTAGCATAATGGCTTTTAATGGAATTGAGGAAGTTATTAAAAAAGTTAAGTTTCGCTTAATTAGAATTGGACGCTCAGTGATGAAGTGCACTGCAGAAGTAGGCTTGGAGTTGAATTTATTTCTACCTCCTAATGGACCTACAGTTCATAGAGGCTCTTCCTGAAAACCAGACCTCTCTTCCTCCTCCTCCTCCTCCTCCTCCTCCTCGTAATTCTCTTATCTCGCCATTTTTCGCATCGGAGCTGTCAGGTTTGCATGTTTTCTGGGGTTTTTGCTCTCATCCTGTTGTTTTTCTCACATGAAAGGCAAACGTAGAGCTGAGTTTCATTCTGACAGTTCACAGGGCAGTAACGTGTGCTGCTCTCTCATTTCCAGTTAGGCCAGGCTTTGTTGATGCTTTCTGTGGTCGCTGAGCGTATCTGTAATCTATAAGCTATATCGAGCCTTTAGCTAGTTTGGTGTTTACACTGCCCGCTCTCACACGGAGATCTGCGGCCGGGCTTTCTAGTCTCTGATAGTACTCCTGCCGATTTTACAAGAATCTGGTAGAAAAACATCCTGTTTTACTTCATGCACATGTAGAAATGAATGAATGAGTGAGTTTAATGAATGAATAAAATGTTAATTGAGTCCCGAGGTTGCACATCTCACTCTAAATCCATTCTGTGCTTGAATGGAGAGAGATTACTATTTGGACGTTTTGGTCAGATCATGAGATATGGACACACTGACTCTGCTTTAAAACCTGCCTGGCTCTATGCTGGCTACATAGGTGCACAGTGCTCTACATAGGCAGCAACACATAAATCTTTATGCAAAAAGCACAGACCTGACTCTACCGTGTTCCATGTTGCTAATCTAACTTGCAATATTCGGGACGACACTGTAGGATGCAGTTCGATGCTGCTAGTATATAATAAGTTTAGTATTCTCGCTGTTTAGCATTTAGCATTAGATTAGCATTCCATGATGTGGTAATAATCATATTAATGTATAGCACACACAAATATTGGTTAAACATTTTATTTTATACTTTATATCATGATATACTTATATATTTATTTGTATATTGTAAAGATTTATATGTTTATATGAATATTTATAATGAACATTTTATTAGTCAACATATATTTTAATAAATATAAAAATATCTTTATATAGGTATAATTATTTTTATTGTATTAAAATATTTATGTAATAAATAATAAATTATAATTATGTAATAAATATAAAAATAGTATCATATATAATTTTATTGTATTTTATTTGTATTATATCACAATATTTCTAATAATTTTTTATATTGTTCATATACTAATCAATTTTTATAAAACTATTTTATGTATTATAAAATGAATTAATATACTAATAATATATAAAAATGTATGTATATATATATACACACACACACACAATTTTTTATTATGTTATTTCTATATTATATATAAATAAGATTATATACTTAATATATTATTTAAAATAATAATAATATACATATAATTGTTATTATTACTTTTATTTGGTCTTTTTTCTTATTTGGCCTATTTTATAACATATGAGCAATTTATGACATCAAGTTCAAGTTCATTTATTTATAAAGCACATTTAAAACAGCCACAAGACTGACCAAAGTGCTGTACATTAAAATCAAACCATAAACACATAAAACAGAAATGATAAAACATATGAATTTAAAACCAAAAGGAATGACAGAATAATAATCCGAGTAATAATCAAGACCATAATACAATGTAATAAGAATGGGATATTAGTAGGCCTGATCAAACAAGTGTGTTTTTAAAAGTGACTTAAAAATGGATAGGGAAGGTGCCACTCTATAATCTCAAGCGGCAGATTGTTCCATAACTGAGGCCCAACCACAGAAAAAGCTCGATCCGCTCTACGTTTAAGTCTGGACTGAGGAACTAAAAGGAGATTCAGTTTCAGGAGATTCTCCCACTGGATCTTAGACCTCTAGTGGGAGTATAAAAATGCAACAGCTCTGAGGGATAACTAGGGGCTTGGTTATGTAACGATTTATACACCAGTAAGAGAACTTTAAAATCGATTCTAAATTGAATAGGTGACATGGTTGTGTCTTGTCTCCTCTGAATCAGGGTCACGAGATGACGAGTATCGGGCTCCTGCTGGGTGTTTCTGCTGCCAAACTGGGCACCATGGACATGTCCATCACCCGTCTGCTAAGCATCCACATTCCCGCGCTGCTGCCGCCCACCTCCACAGAGCTGGATGTGCCTCACAGCGTGCAAGTGGCCGCTGTGGTCGGCATCGGTCTGGTTTACCAGGGCACCGGTCACCGGCACAACGCAGAGGTGTTACTGGCAGAGATCGGTTCGTGTGTATGATGGCGTCAAATGAAACGAGCTGTTCTCAGTTGTGCTCGTTCATGATTGAATTGTTGAGTTTAGTGTCATATCTGAGTCTGTAACAGCTGTGTGTTGTGTTGTTCCCAAGGACGTCCACCTGGTCCTGAGATGGAGTACTGTACGGATAGGGAGTCCTACTCCCTAGCAGCTGGACTGGCACTTGGCATGGTCTGCCTGGGGGTGAGTGTGTCCAAAGAGTTCCTTTTCCTTGCATAGTCAGCAACAACAGAACCCAGCTTGGAGGAGCACAATGACTAAAAAAATCCCTAAATTATCCACTTTTTCAACAGAACTAAAATTAACGCACACTATCATTATTGTCTTTAGTCCTGTGCAGTTTGTACATGTCAGTGTACAGCTTCTCAAAAATGCCTTTCTGAAGTAGTATTTTTTTTAGTATAATCAGTATAACAATATGAATGTTATATATATTTTTAATTACATTTAATTTATGGAAAAATATGAATATATGATACATTTAAAAATAAATATATAAACATATGTATTAATATAATTATATATAATATAAAAATATAGAATTATTATTTGAAATATGATATAGTAAAAAATTGATAATAGAAGAATTGGACTGATTTGAATGTAAGATAGTAGAATTAAAATAGAATAATATTTAAGTAAAACTTTATAATTGATCGAAGTACAGTTTGGAAAAATATATGTGACCCTGGAGCACAAAAACAGTCTTAAGTCGCTGGGGTATATTTGTAGCAATAGCCAAAAATACATTGTATGGGTTAAAATTATCGATTTTTCTTTTATGCCAAAAATCATTAGGATATTAAATAAAGATCATGTTCCATAAAGATATTTTGTACATTTCCTACCGTAAATATATCAAAACTTAATTTTTGATTAGTAATATGCATTGCTAAGGACTTCATTTGGACAATTTTAAAGGCGATTTTCTCAGTATTTAGATTTTTTTTGCACCCTCAGATTCCAGATTTTCAAATAGTTGTATCTCAGCCAAATATTGTCCTATCCTAACAAACCATGCATCAATGGAAAGCTTATTTATTCAGCTTTCATATGATGTATAAATCTCCATTTCAAAAAATGGACCCTTATGACTGGTTTTGTGGTCCAGGGTCACATATTTAATATTTTTAGTGTGAATTGCCCATAAACACATTATCATGCGCACAAATTATGGGCTATTTCCAAAAAATCTGATTATATGAATAATATTTGAAATGCCATCTGCAGTAATTTACATTTATTTCTATTTTGCAGAAGCGGTGTTTATTATGAAAAGCATGCAGACAATTTCAGCAAATGCATGCATTCTGTGCATCTGTGGGAGATGGGAACCAGAATTATTCCCACGCTGACCCAGCTGTTTTGCTCTCTGCTTCTCTGCAGCACGGCAGTAACCTGATCGGGATGACCGACCTGAACGTGCCCGAGCAGCTCTATCAGTATATGGTGGGAGGTCATCGGCGCACGCATGCTGGCATCAGCAGAGAGAAACACAAGTCTCCCAGCTATCAGATCAAGGTGGAGTCATTACATAACCATCAAAGAGCATGTATTCATCTAGAGATTTTTTGTGCTGAGAATAATGCCACACCTCTCATGTGGTCGTGTTTGACAGTTTAAATTATTGTGTGAGAAAGCAAGGGTTGTTCAGAACCACAACACTGATATGCTGTCTGCTGCATACTATTTATCTCGTGCAGTGAACAGTATATAACAATGAATAAAAGTATGGTGAATTGTCAAATGTCCCAGTTCTATATATATATATA